CCTGTCCTCCTCCACCTCCTGCGTGTCACCACTGCCAGTCCTGACCTCTCCAGCTCCTGTGTGTCACCGCTGCCAATCCTGGCCTCCTCCACCTCTCTTCTCCTGTATATCATGGGTGCCAGCTGCAACACAAGCCTATATCCAGGCAAGGGCCCACTCTGTGGTGGGGCCCGCTCCACCGTAGAAACCTGCATGGGCAGAACGCATCCTTTCCAAGCAACGCCTGACTTGTGCCTACACTTCGTGGTGTCGGCTTCCCTCTGCTTTCTCAGGCTACTTTGTTTTCCCCTCTGTCGAGCATTGGAGGATCCTGCCAGTACTCGCTTTTCAGCACAGCGCTGGTGTGAACACCCCAGTTGTCACATCAGTATAAGCAGTCCTCCAGCTGCAATCCCACCATGCCACTGGAGTCCTAAAGAGCTGGAAGGGACCTGTAGTTAAAGAGACACTAGAAGTTTTACCACTAGGCTAGGGGGCTGGCCCTCCATTATCCAGTTTAAGATCAAAGCCAAAACTGATTTGGGATGTGCGCCGATTTGATAAATGATACAGTTTCTTGAAAAAATAACACAACAAACTTGACACAGCATAGGCAAAGGAAATTGTTTCATGAGCCCTATAGTCACAGAAGCATAGGATCCTAGACTCGTAAGTGTGGAGACGACCTCCAGGAGTCCTCGAATCCCAACCCTGTGCCTGAGGCAGGATCATCCAAACCGTCCTATACAATCCATCATCTAAACTCGACGTAAGATGACCAAGGGGTTCAGGAAGGTGTAGGTTCATGGAGGAGGCCTGCCCCAGCACTTTGCACCTTTGGGGACAATGAGGGCCCACCTGCGGAAGAAGTTGTTACAGTTAAATCATTTTTGATACCCGGGATATCTCTGGGGGCTTTTATTTTTTCTGGAAAAGTACAAGAGAAGCCAAAGCAAGTTCCTCCAAACTATACACTGCTTTATTGGCCTGTTATCCATCAGGCAATATTAACAAGAGCAGCTACACGCAGCAGAGAGTACACAAACATACTCACTACCCGGTGGCGAGGTCTTGGGTCCCTCACAGTCCATCCCCAGGCCTTGAGGCTAGTTCCTGACTCCCACACCTCCGCCTTTGTGTCGGGGAGTTTTGTACCATTCAGGCTCAGATTTCTGTATTCCCATTCCTTCATTTGAGATAAGGATGTCTCGGCCAATTCAGTAAGGAGCAGGGAAACTGAGTCATGGTCTGTAACCACTCTTTTCTAGGGTTGCCTTATTAGGTTTGAGTGTGATCACTGGCCTCTGCATCTCACCTCCCTTGAACCGGCCCCTCACAGTCCTCTCTTCTCACATGCCACAGCGATTCAGACTGAACTGCTCCTGGGATAAAAGTATCTGGGAGGAGGAATGAAGCCACACACCCAAGACAGCAAAAAGGCGTGTTCAGGACTCCCCAACATTATTCAGATTCATAAAACAAAATCTAGCCTTCTTAAGTATCTTGACAGTGCCTCCAATGATTCACTGAGAGTCATTTCTACACCCATAGATGGATGTAGACTTTTGAAAAGGGGGTCTAGGTAGTGAGGTGCATCATCATCTATAAAACAACACCTTTTTCTCCAGTTAAAAATAAACTAGAAACTTTGAATAATACAGCCGTAGGCCCTTGCATATTAGTAGTCTAAGATTGAGGCAAACACACGTATAGGTTCATCAGAAAGCGCTGAAAGCAATCTGCAGGACTGTGAGATAGGAGCTTCATTATCAGGAGCAGCAAACAGACAGCAACATTGCAGAACAAAGGATAGCTGCATTGGTGGAGCTTCAAGGCCGTTAAATGAAGAGTGTAGAAGGGATCAGGAAGGTGATAATGAACCCTGAAGTCAACTGACTCCCTTAACACTGCCTGACTATAAAACTGACTGCCTGGCAGTGGCAGCAGCAGCATTTCAAGTTAGGGTGGAGCAAGAATCAGGATGCACCTGCAACACTGCACCCTCACCTCCACCCCTGCATGGAGTGCCCCTTCATTTCAATCCTCCAGCTCCCACCTCTAACCCTACCCCTAAGTCACTAATCCCAAACCTAATTAGACAGACACTGACTGGCTCCAACACATGCCACCGTGCAGATCCAGCCCATACCTCAATTTGGGGTCACCAAGCAGCATGGGCAGATTTAGGATTTTGCAAAGGGGGATGCAGAGGACGTGGTGCATCATCCCACATAACACAACATACATTTTTCTCCCATTACAAATTAAATAAGATGCCGTAGTAATACCCTATGGGCTTAGGGTTTTAGTATTCCATTTAAGATGGAAGCGAAAATAAATATAACTTTATTGGAGCGTGCATTCATTTGCTACTTTGTATAAAAAAAATAACAAAATAGGAAAAAAATAATCAAAATGTTGCTTTGTTAGTCCCCTAGTCATTGGAGTTAAATGGGCATCTCCTTCAGACTTATAAGACAAACTCTAGCCTTCTTGAGCATCTTGGCAGTGCAGCTGGCACTCCACTGAAAGTTGTTTCCACACCTGAGCAAATGTTTCCCCGAGCTAATGTTTTTAGCTCATGTTTTAGTTAAAAGCAGCTATCACTGCTGTTAAACAGGAGCTACATTACTAGAAGCACCTAATAGACAGCAGAATTGCCAAAGAAAGGGTAGATTGATTAGCAGAACATCAAGAGCAGCAAAAAGGAGAGCGGGTTGCTAACACCCGTGGAATGAAGTATTTAGAAGGAATCAGGTAGATTATAATGAGCCATGAATCAGTTGAATCTCTCACCCTTGCCTGACTAGAAATGTTGCTGCCTAGTCCAGGGCCATCCAGCAGCTCCAACCCTATCCCTAGTATTAGCTTTTGCTTAGGACCACCATCCAGCCCTAACCTAGACCAGGGTCACCGAGACTCAGCTCCATCAATATCCCAGGAACACTAATGAGCTCTATTCCTAACCATACCCCAGGCCACTATCCAGCACCAGTACTTATTCCAGCCAAGGCTATGATCTGGCTCTAACTCTGACCTTTACTTTACCAGGGAACCCCAGTCGCAGCACTGGGATGGGATAACCCTGTGGATAACACCCTAATCCTAATCCACAGCCACCAACCAACCGCAGTCCTAACACTAGTTCATGGCCAGCAACTTTGTCTAGACCTAACCCTATTTCAGGGCATCTACCAGAAACATAATTTTTTCATGTTATTTTACTGATTAGTGCACCTGTCTGTTCAGTAGCTGGGCTTGACTTGTTCTGAGGTGATTGCATCCAGGACCGTAAACTGCATTCAGTAAACAGTTTGCTTCTCAGAAAGCAATCCTGGCAAGTCTCAGTACACAGCCCAGAAAAACATTATGCACTTATGGAGGAATTTTTATGGGGATTTCCAGGCTTCTGTAGTTACAGGGAGTTCAGACTTGATTTCCCAATTCCTTAGAACCACAGCTGGGAGACTCAGAAATGGAAACTGTCTTGGTTAGCTTTGCTTGTGCAGGTCCCTGTTTTGTTCTTGCAATGCATAAAGCAGGAGGTTCAATCTCACACATACGTGTAGCCCTGTGTGTGTTGTCTTCCTGACCTGTTGTATTTCTTAACTTGGAGCAAAAGCATGCAGAAATGGCCAAGCTTTATTTCTGGTTTATAAAACCACATCAGCTAAATTTGATTTGATTTGGAAGCCTGCTCCTGCAGGTTGTTGTGGTTTATTATCAGCAGACGTTGAAACTCCCTGAATTAAACTAAACCCAGTTCATCCAGGGAGAATTGATCAGCAGCACTGAACATTTAACATTTGTAAGGATCTATTTCCTTCTCTTTTTCTCTTTTATTTTTCTTAATAATTACAGCCCTATTTCACTAACTAGTGCTGATGAAAAGTTTCTGTATGTGAGATGTCCCAGTGAGGTAGACAGAGCCCACCTAGAAAGAAGGGCCATCTTCTCAGTCAAACTGGGGAGCCCCAGGACGCAGAATAAATTAAATCCATGGGATACAATGAAAAAAGAAAAAGCAGTGGAGCTCGATCATAGGATAAAGACAGGAAAATTGGTTTGGAAATCAGAGCCCCTCAGAGAGCACCCGCTTTCTCCATAAAGGATGTGTGTCTGTTTGGTGCCCATGTACCAATTTGGACACCTGTGACTTCCTCTTCTACACAAGGAAAGGGCCACAAGAAACATAGGAATCACATGAGTATGGATGGAAAAAACCAGGAGGGAAGCACAGATTACCAGGTCAAAGTCAGGTTACAAGAAGGGGGCACTGAGCAGAGAAACCTGGATATCACCAGCTGCTCTGTACAGGAGTACAAGGAACCACTGGACACCTGACCAAGCAGTTTGAGCACTGAAGTTGTCTGTGGTTTATCTGCAGATCAAGTACAGCACAAATCTGGCCCACCAAGGTGCTTTCACCTTCACCTGATACAACTTTTGCTGCTTATGAGATAATGTGGGGGTGTTCTGCCTTCCTCTGTAGCCAAAGCGAGGGCTCTCTACCTGGGATAGCTCTTCTGTGTATATTAACAACATTTTTTTTACAGAAGCAAGACATTGGCTGCTGTGGTCCCCAGCTTTACCTGTGGCAAGTTAGGGTGTTATGCTTTGTGTTGTGTCAGGGTTGATTGCAGTTTTAGTAAGAGGTTAGATTACGGATTTGTATATCCTGGTTTGGATAGGGATGATCCTGCCTTAGGCAAGGGGTTGGACTAAATGATCTGTGGAGGCCCCTTCTGGCCCCACTTTTCAATGATCTTATGATTCTATCTTAAACTGTTCAGCCATTCAGTATACATCCTAGTTATATGACCTCTTTCATAATGTTTTTGCATGTCCCAGTCTTTAAGATATTTTTCCTCATTCCATTGAGATAAGAGAGAAACTACTGTTCTCATTCTGCAGATGGAGAACTGAGTGCAGAGGAGCTAGAGCCTAGCTGCACGAAAGGACTTGAATTCCATCTAAATCTCTCTTTAGAAGCCCAAGTAAATAAACCCATCACTGTAGTTCTCAAAATCCCTGCCTAAGTTTCATGTGAAGTTGCCTGAAGTCCTGTTTGTGTGCATGCCCAGGACTCGATAAAGTTCTGTTCTCGTGCACATCCCCTCGTGATAAAGTAGAACAGCTCCATGCTCTCATATCAGTGTGAGAGTAAAATTAAGCTCTTGCTCCCTTAAGCTTCCCCTCCTAAAAATGAATGCATTGATTCCTTGTGTATTAAAACTTTGGTCATAGTCTCAGGCCATAAAGGAATCCAAGCCTGGTGAAAACTGCACTGGTAGCAGATTCGTAATTTAAAATACCAGCATAGAGGAGGTAAGTTTGTGTTGACAATTCCTACTAGTATTGGGAAATTGAATAAATACTTGGTGTAATTTCCCTGGAAAAAGAGCAGGCCCTTAGACACCACTGAGAACTACAGGCCAGTCAGCCTTACCTCGATCCTGGGCAA